AGAGTGCTAGAAGAACATACACTGTATGATTCTTATGTATAATTTAAATAGCAATTTCAAAACTCCAGTTCTATAGCTGTTCAACATATAAGACTCACTCAGCTCTGCAGTTGGAGGAGATTCAATATGATTCTACAATTGATTTCAGTAGGTGTTTTAACTACAAGGGGAGAACAAAATTGGCCAACAGTATTTGTAAAGTGCTTTTGGATTCTTGGGAGTGAAGGCACTGCAGTGTAAATTGTTATCACTTTTACGGGATGGAGCACACCCTCCCCAAATTGTATAAGCAATTTCCCAGTTTTAAAATATTTGTGTCCACAGTGTCATTCTGTGGTCCCCTCTTAAAGATGAGCCACCATGTTAAACAGGAATGTAACAGTTGTAGAACTGACACTGTGTGTACAAGAGACAGTATGGGTCACTAATACTGAAAAGGTTTTAGAGCAAATTCCTTTTGTTTTGCCTTTTGCATCATGGCTTTTGCATTGCAGTTATAGACAACAGTGGCAGCCTCTGAGGCTATTCCATAGCTTGAGGCTAAGGTATTCTCCAAAATTATAGGGCTTTTGTGGTCAAAGTCCTGCAGAAGTGGGGTTTATAACCTGTAGCTACATCTATGCTAGTAAATTAAACCAGGATCTGTTCCCTGGATGTGAGGCCAGCTGGCATGATCTGGCCACATCTATGCTATTAAACTCTTTTACTTTCCAAAACAGAGTGGCTGAATCCAAACTGCCTATTGGGAATGATCTTTGGCCCATGCTAATTTCCAAATTGTTCCAGTGATTTTTTGGAAGAGTGCTAGCATTCACCAGCCAAAACCGTGTCAGAGATTTTTTTATAACAATTTAACAGTACAGACAGCTGAGTTGAAGCGCCTGGACTATGTGCTGACTTTGTTTTAATTTCTTAGTCTAAATGTGCTTGCTATCTCTTCCCTATGCTTTCTATTTCCTGAGCACATCTCTACCTACAGGATACCATACCAATGGAAAGAGTTTGTCGTCTGTTGTCAGAATAAAACTGTGAACTTGCTTGGGATCTTGAGTGGACAGAGATGTCTAATGTGAAATCCTGAGTCAGGTGTTGGAGACACCAAACACATCCCATTTCTACAGTCAAGCTGTAGACAGCTCCTCACCAAGCATGAGAGCTGAGTTCAGAAATCTACCACAGGTTGCTATCTGTGCCATCAGAAGTACCTAACTTCTAAGTGCTTTATCACTTGGTGCACATGGTCTCGCATCAGTATTTTTATTAAAAAGGATTTGAATAAAGCTGCAAATGCAATTTTTCCTACATTGTTTCTTAACTTTTCATGACTGATACAGCTGCTGTAGTAATGTTCATTTAATTGTATTTGCTCATGTAAGACTGTGATATATTTCTGGTTTTATATCTGTCCACATATAAAAAATCCATGCTCAGCAAAAGGATGGAGGGAGAACATGTGTGCAAGAGGCTGACATAGGGAAAGCAAAGATAAGTAATTTTTTAAATCTATTGCCACAGTCTTCTCAAATGTCCTTGGTATTATTGCAAATACTTGCTATATGTATGTTACGCTTTATGTATCTTTGCTTGTCTTCCAAATGCAAAATATGTTTGCAGAAAAACGCATTACTTTACATCTCACTGACAAATGAAGTGAAAATATAGAAAAATGTCTCATCACAAAAGCTGCTTTCTGGGGCTGGAGAAGTCCCACATCATCAGGCTACGTCAAGGTTCACATTTCAAGCAGACAGTTAGTTATCTGGGGGAGTCATTGTTGCTGTTGCTCTTTTCCCTTTTACAGACACTAGTACCCCATGATCCTGTTTGTGAAGCAATTCACATCAACTTCAGGCAAAATCAGGATGGATAGTTTTAACAGTTTTGGTTGACTTCAGATGAATCTTTCTGCCTGCAGAACTGTTGGCTTTGATAACCCACAGCTGATGAATGACCACATGTAGCCAAGGAAAGCAAAGGTGGTTTCAGACTATGGTTATCGATAGTCAAAAAACTAGGGAGTGCCAGAAGTTTCCAAGGACAAAAATGAGTGGAAGGTGGTTTTCTACCCTTTTTCTACCCTTTTTCTACCCTTTTTCTAGCCTTAAGAAGAGAATGAAAGGCAATGTACAGCAGTGCCACTGTCAAGGGAGCAGTTTGGTTCTGATCTCTAAAGAGTATGAGAGCTAAAACTGAATGAACAAGGTGAATGAAATTAGGTGAATGAAAGGCACGGTTTACAATGATTTAAGGAATATTATTACAGTAAGATTATGCAGGAAAACTAAGTCTCATGAAGTAAAGGCTAGGTGGAAGTGTAAGATACTTTACAAACAATTAGACACAAAAAAGAAGTTCTTAGTTATAGTATTGACTTGAAAAAGCAATCTGAACACACAAATTTATTGCTGAGTTTTAACTTGTTGCATATTTGGCGTTATGCATATGAAATGCTAAAAGGCCACATTAATATGAAATGTAATGAAACAATTATAACTGAGATCTACATTGTCTATTTTGCTATGTATTTCTTGGACTGCCTTGTGCTTTCATGCAGATGAATCCTGCCTCATTCCCCATGTACCCTTCAGTATTTGTTAACATTATAATTTGGGAAAGTAAGGCTTGTATTTTAAAGTATACACCTGAGTCAATTTCGATTGGAGATAATAATCTTTTAATTGAATTTACAGAGTTCTAGAAAAAATTGTCTATCGTAGACACTTTAGCTCACGTAAATGTTAAAGGAATGCCAATAAATGTAAATGTCAGATTTCAAGGGAAATATCTAAGATCCTCTTACTCTGGCTGTGATGGGAATTGTCATTTTTAGAGCTGGAGATATTTGTGGGGGTTTTGGTGTTTGGTTTTTTGTTAGGTTGGGGTTTGTTTTTTTTTTTTTTTTCAGTATTCTACCAAAATTTTACTAGGCTATGAAGATATTATCTAAAAATTTATGAAACTGCAGGGATAACCCTTCACATCCAACCGACTAAAATATTCTGAAGTTCTCAGGACACTGAAGTATAGATTTTAATGGGTACTATATTCAAGACATTTAAGCCAACAAGCATTTTAAAGAAAACATAACTGCACACGTATGTGCTTGTGTTAGCTCTGTAATGATGCAACTGTGTTTGGGTATCTATGTGTGTCTATGGTACCTACACGCTATGTTTTCATGCATTTCTTCTAAGGTTATACCTAACATCCAAATTTGAGAACCTATTAATCAAAACTAAAATGCCAAGTAAACGTTTTTCTTCTTTCTCCCATACACGTGCTTCTACCCTTTGATATAAAACTGAGCCAACACCCAGGCCACATAATACCTCCACAATGATAGCTTTAAGATGTGATTACTTGTGGCTTACAAATCCAACACCATTTTCAAATACTGAATAGGAAATGCTTCTATGTGTCATGCAGGAATTCACTCTCTCAATAAGACCTGATATAGTGGAACTGAAACTGAGCTTTCCAGTGCAGTAATGGCACTTCTCACTCAGGAGGAAACAAATAGAAGACTTCAGCTAGAGACGTTTGAAATAGTATGGAGATGGCCTTAGTCTGTTCTAGAAGATTTTTAGTCCTTGGCTATATACAATGGGACTTGAAGAAACAAACTCTATGGGAATTAAAACCAAAACAAAATACTTTGGATTACTCTCAGTTCATTGGTTCGAAACCTTCTAAAATACCTTAAAAATGCTTCTTGAAACTATTTTTTTTTATATATATATACAGAAAGGATAGTGGTATGATAGCTGTATATAAAGATTTTATTTCACTGATTTACAATGACCAGCTTAAATTTCCTATTTTTACTACGACAAGTCACATTCAAACCCTTACTTCACATCAGCTATACTTCTCCATTCACACCAAAAAAATACTAATATAATGGACTTCTAATACTATATAGAATTGTTTTCAGTATTCTCAATAGGTTTGATAAGCTAAACAGAAGTCATTACTTGTTATCCAAGAAGTGTTTTTTTTGGAGAAAGGATCTATTCAGATAACTGTTTGGATAAGTAAAGAACAGGAACAATGGAAAGAACTGTGCTCGACAGTCATACAAAATTACCTGGAACCCTTTATTTGGTGAATTGATTCCTCCCAGGTCTAAAGGCTTGTATTGATTACAGTTGAAGCTGCTTAGAATTTTTCTATTATTTCCTGGGTATTAGGAGTAACCAATAACCTCCGATGGGAAGTAAGGTATTATCAGATGATATTTTAATCCCCATGTAAATTTGCAGAAGTATAGACATTAAATACAAGCAAGGAAGAGATGATCCTTGTATATTTTTTGAAATATGGGAATATGCCTACTGGCAGGAGCTCTAGAAGGTTAATTTCAGCAATAGATGGCTTGTGTTAATTACAAATTTTGAATTTGTAACAATATAACTCCATCATTTCTATAAAACAATATTTAATATACAACAAACTTTCACCACATAAACACATTAAAAACACCTTTTTATAGTTCAAATAATTGATTACAGCGTTCTCATAAAAACATTTTCATAACTAGAATCTTAATACAGAATGATTTTTTTTCTATGCCAAAATACATTTAGATGGTAAATTGTTTGTAGAAAAAGATACAGAGAGAAATGGGGTTTGCTGGCATGTGATCCACCTTATTTCATTCTTTCATGGTCAACTTCAAAGCAATATCTAAAATGTTTATCAGAAAGTACTTCACTGTTTTATCCAGTCTTAACCAGAAAAAAAAAGAAAAGAGGAAGTTAATTGGCGATTTTCTGTTTCAGCGTCTGTCAGATGTGTCAGAACAGCACTCACCCTCTCTACATCCTACCTTAACTGTAACTATTCACTGAGGTTTTTTTTGAAAGACACAATATTCCCATTGACTTTAAGCTTTGGGTGCCCACAGACTGAAGAGTGGATTCACTATAATAGCTGAACTGCATTTATTAAATGCAATACTGGTAAAAAAAAAAAAAAAAAATCCACATAAAAACACGTAGGAAGATTGATCACACAATTTTATTAGAGTCTTTTGAACAATTGCATTATGTTGTTCCTTTATTTAAAAACTCTTGCAAAAAAAGACATTGGAGTGGACTGGTTTCAACCCTGAGCATTAACACTGCATATCAAGTACTGTAGTAAAGAAGCTGGTTAAGTTTGTAGCACTAGCACAAGTCACTGATATTAATCCTCTAGGTGATCAGGTTTTTACAAAAAAAATACATAGTTTTCAATAAATAATGCTTAATTTTACAACTTTGATACAGCAATGTCATACACTGTTTTGACACATACTAAACTCTGCATGCTATATAGTCTACTAGAAGACGAAACTTTGCCATGCATTTTCTTTTTCTAGTGCTAGAAAACACTTTGTCCTCCAGTGCATTGCCTCAAGTAGCCTTACCATCTTCCTTCTCTCACAGCAATAGGCCGTGCACTGGCATGCAAAAACCTCAAGAAAAGGTTTCCCCCCCACCATCACTCAGACTTCTAAACAAAAGTACTTTTCAGCTTTTCCCCCCAAGACCTGGAGTGGCTATGAAAACTAATTTCATGTGGCCTTGAAAAGTCTTTGAAATTACATATTTTAAAAGTGTCATGCTTGAAAAACTGCTCTAAAACATTCAATTTCCCTCACCTGTGGCCATCATGCAACATCATTGAAATGTTGTAACCATCGAAAAAGTCCCACACTGGAAAACAGGCCTCCATTTTAAAACAGCCCAGCAAAAAAATTAAAGGAAAGAGGAAAAAAAGTATCACAGCATTTATGTAAAGACTCCAAAACGCCAACGTATGTACAAGAGCAAAACCAGATACAAATCGTAAACTAACTAACAATGGCATATAACTCTTCTCCCTGGCTTCACCAGGAGTTGAGGCAAGTTGGTTTTGGAGATAAGCAGGACGATGGAAACAAAAACAAATTGTGACAATGGGAGTTCCTGGATTAATCATTATTACTTAATCAAATTTCTTCAAGCGGTAAATTGGTGTCTTGATTTTCTTGGAAGTGGGAATTACCAAAATCTAAAGCCCTAATTAACAACAGATAATTCTAAACCAAACCTGTTTCTGAGTATTTGCAAGGCTTAGAAGTTTGGCGGCCTTGCACTTTTTCATCCCTCAAGATTGCACTTCACAGAAAATCCAGATGTTGTAACTAACCACAAAAGAAGAAATTTGATTAATTAATAAGGATTGAAACCTCCATTCTCACACTTCCAGGTTGTTCATCATTGAAAACCATTCACCCCTTCTTATCCATATTGCTTTAGGGGTTTCCTTGTATCTACAGAAGTCATTCCTTTGAAATTGCTGTCAATCACAATTTTCTAAGTTTTTAAAATAATCCTATCTTTGCACTGGCATAAGTATTGGGTTTTCTAAGAGAATCTCAACCCAAAGAAGGTATTACTTTTATACATGAAATATTACGAACTTTTGTTTCCCTTTTTTGTAAGTCATTCTACACTTTCTGCACATTTGTGCTTTATATTGAATATAAAAATAGGTCTTTAAAACTCTATTTACTTTAAACTCACTAAAAAACTACTTGCTTGTGAAATTCTCTTACAAATTCACTGCATCCATGTAGAGAAGATAAAACTAATTAGGCAGTTAATTGGTATAGGTAGTGTGCAAAAAAATTAAGGAAAACGAAAACAATCACAGCCTTGGATGCGGGTGAGAGGAAAGGAAATAAACCAAAGGACTACAACAGTATAGTAGGGGAAATGTAAGGCAACTCATTGTGTTAAGTTTTTGTTGTTTGTTTTTTTTTCCTGGCCATGCTTACAAATGAAGGTTAGGATGAACTAAGACACCTACCCTGCCAGCAGCCCTTGCAGCAAAAAACTCCCATTAAACTCAATGAGAATTTTTTTTGTTTTTTAACCAGTGCAGGTTTAAGGCCTTACTAGGCAACAATTGTGAAGATGTAAAAAGGAACTTCTTGAGCTGTATTGAGTATCAAACACCTAAAAATTCTATGGACCTGACTCTGACCCCACACTAGTTTTACCTCGGTGTAACAACAGAGTTGCATTTTCCTCAAACAGGCATGTGTGAAGGACCAGACTGCATGCATGCAAATCACATTCAGTAGACTCGAAGAAGTTTCATCTGAATGACAACGAATGCCTAAAGAGCATGTAGCACTCAAAGGATGCTTGGAATGAGTCTTTCTACCACATTTGAAAAAGACTGCACTTAAAGGAAGAAAATATTTCTTAGTTGTGGTACTTTTAAAAGGCGGAGAGGAAAACCATAATAAAAACAACAGAAGGGTAAAAATGGTAAGTTTACAAAAATATTCACTTCAAAACTGAAAAAGAATCAGAATGTTTGGTTAGATCTTACATTGAGTTGACATCCTCAGTGTTAGCAAGTAAATTGTCTTTCCACATTAAAAAAAGCTAATTTTTCCCCTTCCATCACTGAATCCTATTACACTTAAGAGTAGTATTGTACAGAGGCAAATGTTAAGAATGTGGAATAAAAGGCCACAGGAGATACTAAGCCTGCAACAGGACTGTTCTAGCATGTCAACAAGGATTCCTGTGAACACAGGAAAATAAAAGAGAAACAGAAGGCATGAATATTAGCAGATATGACAAAAGAAACAAACAAAAAAAACAAAACTAGCTAAGCAGATGTTATTTTTCATGATAAGAAGATTGGTTTTTTAGTCTCGCTGAGATCAGCAGGAGCTTAGGCATTCAACAGCATCAAACTTCAGCCCTAACAATGTAGTGGCTTAAACAGAACACTACCTAATTTTTCCTTGAGCAATATGCAACAATAAACTCTGAAATAAAAGAAACTCAACTGTCTGGACAAAAAATTGTTTCCCTGTACCATATACCTTCACTCAGAATAATTCTTCTGAAACAGTATTGTATAATTCCCCTCTAGAAGAAGAAAAGATATACTTCTGAGGGTATTATATTAATTGATTAAAGTAAACCTGTTGCTCTTTTAAAATCTGCCTGACTGCTCTATACTTGGATCCTTTACATCACTTATCCTTGACTAATATTTTAAATGGTAATTTTAAAAACAGCTCCCAAAACCATATACAAGTCAAAACTTCCGTAGGCTGGGACACAGACCTTATTACAATGCAAACTAAATGCAGCCTATATTTGACCATAATTGCTCATAACTCATTGAACATCTGTAAAGCACAAATGTTTAATGACACTGCCTATTATCACTTTACTAAACAAGGATGCATATCAGAAGAAAGGGAATGGAAGTACAAGTCCCTCTACTCTCATGATAGCTTCAAGAATTACTAAGAGAATTTTGGCTCAGTTTTAAGACTTAGAACCTGATCAACTTACTCCATCACCCTAGCCCAAAACCGAATTTTCAATAGCAGGATAGTGAATGGCTAGGCTAGAGCACTTCAGTGTATCTATTTTCTTTCACTCTTTTGCCTTAGAAGAGATAAATGTCATTTGTTTTCAATCTGATTTCTAAGTTATTACATGGAGAACACACTAATCATTTGAGACCAAAAACTGAAAATTCAAGAAACTCTGTTTTATTGAGGACTATCCATTGGCAAGGATATCTTGTATATTGTAATTAAGTTTGTTTTAAAACACAGTTTCTCATAAAGAATTATCACAATGCAAGACATAAATTTGAGTTCCCAGATATGCTATATCTCTTTTCTGATAGCAAAGATTTAGGCCAAACAACTTTTATTTAGAATCATGAGTGGTTTATTATTATTATTATTATTATTATTAGAAAGAGATCAGATTATATTAATCATTTTACTACCAGTTTAACTAACCTAAAGTAAGATATCTCACCACTTAAATGCCTAAGAGTTGTCTTTGATTAAACATAACATGCATGCAGGTTTTAATGTTATGTTTTATTATGCCTTACAAATGTGTATGCAGGATTTTCATTTCAGCAAGTCTGAAAGCCTGTAGCAGTGGTTGCCACCAAAATACCAGCACAGTGAATTGTCCCTGTAAACAGCTGGATCATTAATTAGTGGAGATAAAAAAAAAAAAGGAACAAAACAAACAAAAAAATAAAACCAAACAATAATTTAGCAATGCCTATCAGATAAAAAGTAAACTCTTGAGAAACAAACTTGCACCTTGTGAGTCTGTTTATTGCCATCAGCAGTTATTTCAGAGAGCACAACTGAGATCTGACGGCTCCTACGGCTTAAAAAAAAAAAATAGAAAAGAAAAAAAAAAGCACACTGAAAAAGTCTGCTCACCTACAGCAGAAGCTCGTACACCCCTCCTGCCCCAGGGCGGCTCATCGAAGAGGGGCCGGGGCCGCCCCGCCGCGCCGAGCGCTGCAGGGGGGCGGAAGAGATGCAGCCCCACTGCGCCGAGCATCTCCGCCTCGGGTCTCGCCCAGGCTATTCATCAAAAAAGGGAGAGAGGGAGGACAAAACGCAGCTGGGAGAGGACCAGGTCGGGTAGAAAGGGGGGAGCCGCATCCCCCACCCCGCCGCGCCCACCTCCCCGGAAACCGGACACGGGGGACCGGCGGGGCGGCCCTCGGGGAGCCGGGCTCGTTCACCGGACTGGGGGGGTGGGAAGGAGGGAAAGCAGAAAACACCCAGGACGAGCCAACCTGCCACCGCTCGGCCAGGCCCCCAGCAAGCCAGCCCCGGCCCCGCCTGATGGAGACCACACCGTTGCGGGCCGGCACCCACCGGGCCCCGCGGAGCAAAGCCGGAGTGGGAGGGAAAGGCGAAGGGAGGCGGGAAAAAAAAAAAAGAAAAAAAGGCAAAGAAAAGAAGCAGCCCTTACTCTCCTTCCCCCCTAGCTACGGTCATGCACAACAGCCTACAGCTACCGCTCCTCCGCAGGCGAGGGGTGACAACACGGCATCTCCAGCGTTCCTTCTACAGACACTAATAGCGATACGAGTTTCTATCAGTTCCAGCTGATTTATTAAAATTGTCAAGATACAGACTTTCAGCATTAAAAAAAAAAAAAAAAAAACAGGCTATGATGTTGACAGTGCACAAGTCTGCTTTTGCCATCATTTGCTACAAAATATGCAGATGGTCTGTACTTTAGATTATATTGCACAACATGAGAAACTTTTAACTATGTGCCTTTTTTCTTTCTTTTTTTTTTTTTTTGCTAAAATCGAGAATCCAGTTTCATACCTTCCATCTGGGGCCCCATCCACATATCACAGCGTATGAGATACATAAAGTCCTACTATAGTACAGTACATATACAATCTTTTAAACTAAGATAACAGCTCTGAGGTCTATATCACCATTTTCAATAAATCTTTACCTACAAATATTGAACAAATCTGAACTATAGCTGTACAAAAAAAGTGTTTGTTTCTTTTTTTCTTTTTAAAACCACAAGGCCTTTAGATGCAAGGATTATTTTTTTTTTTTAATTTTAATCCTTTTAAAACCAGGACGTAACGTACCAACAAACTTGCATGCTAAAAACAGAGAAAACAAAAAAAAGAAAATAAAAGGGAAGAAGTGCCTGAAAAGTCTTACTGAAAAAACACAGCAAGAATGTTCCCTTTTCACTGTACAAAAATACGCCTGAAAATATATTAATTTTTAAAAAAGACTGAGGTCTGTTATGTATCAAAAATGTTTCAATACCTTTTTGTACTGAGGTCTAGGCTGTCTGGTATTCAATCAAGGAGGTATAAGGGAACAAGTTACAAAAAAAAAAAGTTGGCAAGTAGAAATCACATTTGTAAAACCATAAACAATTTGATCTGAAAAGTAAACTCTGATCTTAAGTCAGTTCAGTTATTTGTAAGCGTTTGTACAGTCTGCATTTTTTCAAGCTCCCTGCAGCTTTGTTAAGAATCGGATGCATAGAAGACATCAGTTTTCTCCCTCCAAAAAAAGTTGCAATGGTCCCTTTCGGAAAAATAATAATAAAAAAAAATAGAACAGTTCTTCAAGATCTCTCACGGGAAAAAAATAAAAAAATCCACAAACCCCCTTGAGTAACAGTTGTGCTGCCACAAGACTTCTTTGCAGACCATCTTCCAGACTTCAATCAGAGACCGACAAGCTTCAAACAGCGCCTTCTGTATCATTTTTTCCCCCAGTCCCATTTGCCTTTGCTGTTGTTGTTGTGATCACCAAATGCAATAAAAAAAAGTAAAAAAAAAAAAAGTAAAAAAAAAAATAAAATCACAACTCCCGGGCTCGGAACTAACTTCAAGATTTTTTTTTTTTAAAGAAAACAAGACTTTTTTTTTTTAATTATCATCATCATCATCATCGTATCATCATCGCCGGCGTCGCGCAGCTCCGGCTCCTCCGCTCCTCGCCGCCGCTCAGTACGTGAACACCAGGTCGGAGAAGTTCGCCTCCAGCCAGTCGCCCGCGATCATCTCGCTCAACTCTGGGGTGCAGTAGTCGGGGAACTCGAAGTGGGAGCCGAGGCTACCCTCGCTGAAGGAGTCCAGGTCCTTGTCCACCAGCGAGAGGGAGAGGTTCCCGGCGGCGGCACCCGCTCCCAGCTCGGCGGCGGCGTGGCCGTGCTGAGAGAAGTTGAGGCTGAGGTCGAAGAGCAGGTCGTCCGTCTCCTCGCTGCCGGCCGACGAGGTGGAGATAGACCGGGAGGAGGCCGGGGAGAGACCGGGCGGCTGCTGCGGCGGCTGCGGGCCCTGCTTAGTGATGTTCTTGAAACTGTAGTAGAGTCTGCTGCCGCCGCCCGCAGCCGCGGCGCCGCTCCGCACCTCCTCGTAGAGACTGGCCCCCTCGGTGGACTCCGCCGAGGAGCTCAAGGTGGGACTCGCTGGCACTTTGGCCACGTTGTACCGCCGCAGCTGCTGCGGTCCCGGCTCCTCGTCCTCCTCCTCGTCCTCCGCCTCCTGCTTGATTCGCAGCTGCAGCTCGTCTTCGTCCTCCTCCTCGTCCTCCTCCTCGTCCATGAAGACACACTTGACCGTCTTGCTGCTCACTTTGAGGGTGCCGAAGACGTATTCGTCCCCCGAGTAGTCCCCGTGGTGGGAGGCTTTGGCTCCCGGCTTGGGGGGCGAGGAGGCGGAGGAGGCTTTCAGCTTGCTACACTTCTTGCTGGAGCTTTTGGCGCTTTTGCTGCCGCCGCTGCTGGTGGGTGCGTTTTTCTCCGGACTTTGGCTGGCATTGGGCTTGGCCGCCGGGTCCATTTTGGGCTTTTTCCTGGGCCGGTATTTGTAGTCGGGGTAATCGGCCATGTGCTTGAGGCGCAGCCTCTCCGCCTCCCGGATGAAGGGGATCTTCTCGCTGTCCTTCAGCATTTTCCACCGCTTGCCCAGACGCTTGGAGATCTCCGCGTTGTGCATGTCCGGGGACTGCTCCATGATTTTTCTCCTCTCGATCTTAGACCACACCATGAACGCGTTCATCGGTCTTTTTATGTGCCCCGACGCCGTTTTGCACCAGTCCGGATCGCTCTCGTCCAAAGCGACGGGGCTGCAAGCCATGAACTCTCCCTCTTCTGTATCCATTGCTTCCCGGGGCAGGTTGCTCTCCGCCTCCGTACTCTCCGCTTGCTGCACCATGGTGGGCTCTCACCGAGGCGCCGCTCTTCCCGCCGCCACGCTCCAAGCCAACAAAGCCGCTGAACCACCGCCCCCTTCAGCCGCCGCACCTTGCCCCTGCGGCGCGCCGAGCCGAGCCGAGCCGGGCCGGGCCGGGCCTCCGCCGTGCTGCGAGGCGCAGCCCGCGGGGCGACTGGCGGGCGGGCGCGCGCGCTGCTGCCCACAGCCCCGCGGCCGGGCCGGGCTCGTGCAGCTCGGCTCTGCCCCTGCACCCGGCCTCGCGCCGCCCGCCCCGCCGCGCGCGCTCCCCCTTCTGCGAAACTCGCGGCTCCTCGCCCAACTAGTTATCAGCGTTTCATATGGGTGACATCACTCCCACCGCCGACCAATTGCGCCGCGCCGCCCCGCCCACCGCCCCGCCCACCACCTTTATCAGCAGTCCCCCCCCCCCCCCCCCCGCTCCCTCCCCATGCTGACACACCCCCTGCTCGGGGGGCGGCTGGTGATCGTGCTCTCAGTGCCTCTTCCCTCTGCTCGGGACACTGCAGCAGTACCGCCGTGGGGGGCTTCTGTCTCTGGCCTCCGCCGCGGGCCGCAGCTGGGTGCGGAGCTGAGCAGGGAGAGGGGTGGCGGCAGCGGCTTCTCTGTGGCTCTCTCTCTTCATGAGGCCGCGGAGCCCCGCGCGGGTCAGGGAGGCGGGCGGTAGGGGACGCTGGCGCTCCGCGGCTACCTCAGCTGCGGCGCGACAGCTCCTCCGGCGAGAGCAGGGCCGGGTGGCCGGTGCTGGTGCTGTCCTCTCCCTCGCTGTCTTCCTGCCGGACTGGGCTCTTTCGCCTTTCATTGCTTCTTCGCCGCGGATGTGCGGGACGGCCCTCACCGCGGTAGAGCGCAGGCCTCGCCTCAGCTGCGGTGGTCGGCGGCGCGGGTCCGCCTACGGCCGCTTTCCCCTCCGCAGTGGCGCCGGAGCCGTGGACCCCTGGAGGAACGCGGCGGGCACCTCGGTTTCGTGCCTTCACGGCCCCCCCAGGGCTTATTTCGGTGGTTTGTCGTTAACGAGCTGGGCTGCGAGGCTACAGAGCAGGGCCTGGCGCGCTCTTGCTGCGGCGGAATCCCGTTGCCTGCGGATGCGGACGGTACCTCGGGGTCCGGCCTGCTGGGCGGCCGTGCCCACTGCTCCTTCAGGCCAGCACGGGCAGTCTGCCTGGGGCAGTGGGGAGGTCCCTCTGCCCGCCAGGACTTAAACCGGAGAGGTCATCTCACCCACCTGGAGGCGTTTCCCGCGTGGTGTAGGCTGAGGATAAAGGCAGTTTCTTCGAAGTAGGGAGTGAAAGCTCACAGGCAGCGTCTAACAGTGCTGACTTTTGTTTGTTTGTTTTCCAGAAAGTATCCAGTTATTCAGCAGTGTCGAGATCGTTGCAGAATGCCCGCAGCAGATCCTGCTGTTCTGGATAATCCCATGTTTGTCTTCATCGAAGAATTTATGAAATCCAAAGATGACTCTGTACTCATCTGTGGTCATTTTGTGCTGAAAATAAATTCGCATACTGTTCTGCGGGTCTTTTTGCGTTTTTCTAGCTACCATTTACAGTTATTAGCAAGGCAAAAGTTTAATAAGTTTTCTGATGGTTGCTGGCTGGCTGGAGACATGCGAGACAGTGAGAGGGATGAGTCCTGGCACAGCTTTTCCACTGTCAGAGCTCATCCTATTGAATTGGTGCTAGTGGAGCAGCAGGTCCCCTAGTACCTCATCCTCTAATTAGCACAGTCGTTCATTTTCCTCAGACCACAGCAAAATTGCTGTGTTTGGATGACGTGACTATGATATCATAGGGCTGCAGAGTGACTAGTGCTGTTACAGGAACCAAAAAGCAGTCATTCACCTCTTTTAGCTTTATGGATACATTGGGGTTACCGGGTCTCAGCTGCTCTTGTTAGGAGTCAGGAAGAGTTTGAGGGAGTAGACAGAAGGCAGATACATAGTGTCACATTGCTTCCCTAGCTGACCCCAGCTGGGTGTACAGAGTAGAGGGAAAGGAAAAGGCATAGCTTAAGAAGGTTAACTTCATTGTAAAGGTAGATTTAGAAAAACACCACTCTGCCTCTCCATGAGTGCAGAGGTTTTTTTCCCTCCTACCTTTCTCTCTTGTGACACAATCTCCCGGTGGTACAATCTAGCCCCATAATAATGCTTATCCTTAGAGATGGGGTGAAATGGAAAGCTGCCTGACAGGGTACTTGACCTGTCATAAAACACTAGAGTTTAGAGAAACCACATGAGGAGAGGGTGCAGGCAGTGCCTTCAGGAGTGCCTGAGTTCATGTCTTAGTTGTGGGCTTTCTGAGGAGTGCTATCTGCAGGGCAGGACATTCCTTCCAAAAAGGCTGTGAATTTGGCACTTTCCATCCATGAGGAATTGCTCAGATTGGGCCCTCTGTACAGCCATCTTTGTCACAAGGGTTTTCAGAAAGGATCACTTTTCTTGTAATGATAGTGTGGATGGGAGTCTTAGGAGACATAAGCTTGCTGCCTCCAGAGAAGTCAGCTTTATTGCTGCTGGGCTCCTTTTACCAAATTGATACCAGGATACCAAGTGTCTCAGTTAATCCTATTCCTTAGCATTATTCTGTAAATATCAGTGTTCCAATAAAAATAAAAAATAATAAAAATAAAGCCCTGTGAGAAATTCTGATGTTTTCCCATATATTTTGAATCCAGATAGAAACAATGCTGTAGGTTTACGGAATGAAACACGTCAAAGTGTTTTAATTTGTTGTCAGTGTGTCAAATTTTAGGGGAGATTTTATTGTCATACAAATGCATAAAATTCAAGATGATGAAAATTGAGTTTTCTATTAAACAAAACCAATGAATTTTCATAAGATATTGATATTTTGACGAATCATCATTTTCAAAGACCCATGAACTATTTTGGAACCTTTTTGGTCAATTGAAATGGAAACCATATAATCAATATCAACAAGGCATTCTGATGAGTACGACTGTATCCACTAGGGTGACAGTCTGGCATTTTAACACATTAAGATCAGGAGAGATCATTTTAAATGAAGCTTCAGCATAGATTGAAGTCACCATCATTAAAACATACTTAATCTGGGATATTTCTTCTCTTTCATATTTGTCCCTGTGCATAAGCATGCTAATACTGTGCGCATTGCATAACTTTCATAAATCCCATTTCTCTATTTTTGTGGCATAACTCATTTTTCTGAAGTGTCTTGGCAACGTTTCAATTTTTCCTCAAAGTGATCTTTTAAATATAAACAGTATTACTGTTTTCTCATGCTTGTTATTGTTATGTTCTGGTTGGTGTTTGTTTTATTTTGAAGGGTAGTGCTAGGAAGACAATGAAGCTGAAAACTGATAAATAACAGCCACACTCAGGAAAAAAAATATCTTGAGGATTTTAGAAATCTGATTGAAACATGTACGTGAATAAGTAGATATTACTATTAAAATGAAATAATTTACTGTTCTAAAAGCAGCTCAATAGTTGTATGCATGCATGTATATTCCTGTTAGAGTACAGCAGTTAAAGCTAACACCCCGCTACTTGTTCTTTTGAAATTCAAAAGCATAATCATCTTTGCATTATCTAGGTCAATGGAAGGCTGGGTTACTCCAGAAAGCAGGAGAAAATAGAATTCATGAGAAAGCTTAATGCTTGCCCCCTTGCACAGAGGTTGTTTTTGCTGATCTGCATCTGCACTGGACTTCCTAGTGCTCTGTTTTGGGTGTGACATGTTATACTGAGTGCAGTGCAGCATGAATATATAATGCTGGTGAAAGCACAGAGGCATCTGAGTCAAGAAGCTGGTGAGATGCATCCAAAGGTCTGAAGATGGCCAGCAGAAAATGCTTCATGTAGGAATATAAGCCCTCTGAATGTGGCCCTGTGTGTTTATACCTACCCCATCTATGCTGAAAAAGGTGAACCATCTTCTGAACCATCTTATGGAAGATACAAAATGAAATCTGTGCAAAAAAGTTTGTTGTTAAAGAAACAGTGGTTTAGAAAAAGTGAAGGTTATTCCCCCTCTTTATAGTGCCTATTCTCTGTGTTACATTTAAGTAAACTGAAAGCCAAGATTTTTACTATTCTAACTCTGAAGAGAAATAGTGAAGTAAGTGCAGTGTTCTTTTGGTTATTTATTTAATGCCTGTTCTGATTTGTGCTGCAGATTTTTGTCTGGAGAGCCCAAAATGACTTTGTATGGGGAACGTGTGGGAAAACTGGTGTTACGCACCTTCTGCAAGGTGTGGTAAGTGGTTTCAATCACAAGCTGTAGATTCAAAATGGATCGAGAAAGAATTACAGTGTCAAGAGAGCTTTGTCTTAATGGAAAACATACGATGAATTCTGAATGGAGGGGTCAAACCTGAGGTTAGATCACAGACACATTTCCTAGTGATCTTTTCTGGAAAAAAAAAAAAAAAAACCACAACATAAATTCCTTGAGTCTTGTATTCATGAGGTAAAAATAAGCTGTGCTTTTACACTGTGCTAGCTAACGCTGTGTAACATAGTAAAAAGGCACACCAGCTGTGCAATTTAAGATTTGGTGAATCTACCTTTCCCATGAGTTTTTATCTTAAGCTGCTAATTCACATGAACAATTCAACTTCCTTGTCATCGCTAGGAAAATGGCAACCTCTCCTGTCTTTTCATCTACTGTATGCTAGCTGTCCCATGCTTTTGGAGTTGAGGTTGCATAAGACTGTGGTTTCCACAACCTTTGGGTATGTAGGTACCCAAAGCTGACACACGTAACAACTGAATTTCGAATTGAGGGGTGAAATGCGCTCATTTAACTGAAATAGAGAAATCATTCAAGAGGACAGACTAGTTTAAACAAAATCCAGAAAAACTGGATTTGCACCCAATTTTAAACTAACTGTAAACAAAAGTATCCAGAGGTACTTAACTTTGATTTGTGCGCTGAAATCTTCATTTTGCCAGAAGCGTGTGCACTAGATACAGTTATGGTGAGACCAGTGTGAGGGGTGGTTTGCTGGATGCGTAGCCTCTTTCCAGGCAGTGTGGCCCTCTGTTGCTGGAGGGGTTGCAGGAGGGTCGAGCTGGAGCCCAGAGAAGCTGTCAGAGGGAGCAGGAGCAGCTCTTCCCAGCTCACCTCCTGCCAGAGCT